CATTCGATTTAACGAGTGCTTAGGTTTGCTGCTACGGGGAAGGACCATACGTCAATAGTATAGGATGAAATAAATAAATTTGCATAATGTTATCAATATATATCCATAAACAAGTAAAGTACAACAATTTTCATTTTCTCCATAAGAATAACATGGGAATTTTAAATTACACTATTTTTGAATTTTCTCCGTGACAGTTAGGAATACAACAGCGCTTCAATATACTAAATTATTTTAAGCTCTACAAAACAGTTTAGAAGGAATTTGCAAATTTTTTTGTTTTTAGGGTTAAAAATGGGAAAACCCCATTTTTACCCCATAAAACCCCCCATAAACCCCTGTTCCCATGGCCCGATTATGCTGGATCGCAAACTCGTTCGAATAAAAGTAGGTTTACACGTTTGTACCAAATTTCATCAAAATCGGATCATTTTTGCTCGAGTTATCGCGCTAACGGACGCATATATATATATATATATATATATAAATATGTATATATATATATATGAATTTGAACGGATGGTGTTTTTGGCCTCAAGGGGCCTCAAAACAACAAAAAAATCGGTCTCGCGTCCAAGTCTTACCATGAGTTAGAATTATTTCCTTATATCCTATATGGGAAATTCGCTAAAATGAAGATTAATATAATGCCATATGAGGGTTAATTAATAACATCTTATACTATATTCTGGATAATAGATACATGATAATACTACACGATAATCATGCCATAACCAAGTTTGTAGTTTGCCTTTAGCAGTATTGCTTGGGCAGAGTTACAAGCATAAAATGTTTATACAACATACATGTTCATTGTTCATGCTATCCATCAGCATTGATTATGTAGCATCAAGGCATTGTTATTTGGCTACAAAGATAATTTAATTATTGCCAAATACATTTTTATCATTTTGTATACAATAAACACTTATTCTCTTAAAGCTGAACTTTTGTCCCAAACAAAATCTTTCCTATCCTCAACAGATTTAATTTTCCTGTAGAAATAGTAGTAGATGAACTCTTTTATTTTGATAAATGTTCCAAAGCTGACTTTTAAATACATTTTAAAACTATGATAAGGCATTTCTTTAGAGAAATACTAGAATTTTCAGTAACATTTTATTACTCAAAACCAGGAAGCATCGTGTAATTATTTGAATCGTTATTGAAAATATCGTTCACCCTAATCACACAATCGTGTCGTAATGAGTTCAGGGATTTGAGTGTGTTCAGGTAACAGATTTTTAGGTTTTAGTAGTAGCCAGGTGTACTTTGTGTAGAAATCAATTATTGATTTTAATGTATAAAACAATGTTGGATGTGAATAAAAGACAATATGATAATATAAACGGCGGCGTATTGATAATAAAATTCATTTCATTGAAGTTTAAAAGACTTTAAAAGTAATTTAGCCAATTACAAGCCTTCAGTGATAATATAAAAATGCTTCATATAGTTGTAACTAAATTCCGGAAACCTTTTTATCATAAGATTTAACTTCAGGATTTCTTTAACCGTCTGTTTATAACCACGTTTCAAGAGTAAAATACATCAGATGTATTTCAATTTTCTAGGGTTAAAATAACTGTATGTATAAATAAAATCAGGTATGTTCTATTGACATGCTTTAGATTCGACACACGTTGCTATGCAGTAGAATCTTGTTTAAGAACAGCCCAGTGAGTGGCTGTGAGTGTCCTGTAGGTCGGGCCAGGAATACAAATCAGCTGTTAGGTGACATTGGTCAACGGTAAATAAGTGGCTAAACAGCTGATCGTACGATCAATTCAAGTAAAATTGCTTTCAAAATTACATCAATATTAAAATTTATATTTTAAAAAAATAAACATTTTGTTACCAAACTTCATATATTTATAATTTAAATGTATTATAAGCATCAAAGGTCCATATAAGAGCTAACTTTGTCAGACTCATTGATAAGCATCAAAGTTTTTTCAGTAAACATTTGGGTCCATAATTTTTGAATGGTTGAACGTCATCTATTTTTTTTATAAATTCATCCGAATCTATTTAAACCCGACGTTTATTTCTAGTATGGTGGATAACACCCACCACTGAGCTAATTTAGAGGGAGTGGATCAACACCTTTTTACAAATCAGTATAAAAAAAACTTACATAATTTTCTTAAAGTTAACTTAGTCTGAAAGTTTGTTATATCAATGCTTAATTGCAGTAGATATTATGTATATCTGCACCCTGTAAACTCACTTAAAAAATAATTCGTTAAAGATTTTATTCAATGAATGACTCATTTAGGTTGGATATTACCATTTATATTTTATCTATCTAATTGCAACGGTTGTATGTTTGAAGTTCTTAAAAAAATAAAAACAGTATATAAAATCAGACAAGCACAAAAGGAGACTAATTAGGACCAATATACCGTAATGTTCATGTACGGCGTTTACCTGAGGCTACAAGCAGCCTAGCAGAAGCCATTGTTGTTGGAATATTTTCGAAAACATGTCACAGAAAACATACATTGTGTGCATTTTTTTTGTCGTTAACAAAGCCTAATGTGTGCGTTATATTAATATAAACGAACATAAAATGTTATTTAGTTTTACTTAAATAATTTAATTTTCGTGATCGGATCAGGTAAAATAATAATTAAGCTGTTATTGTTTTATCATTATTGATCACCTGTGACTAAAATATAGATCCATCCAGTTATGAGATAATTTTGCAACCTACTCATAAATCAAGAACCACCTCATTTTACCCTATCCCCACTGTTATTTGTATGACTAGTGTAATTGAAATGATGTATTGAAATATATTAAAATGTGTAAAATCCTGCAAACTTAAATAAAGTATGTAACAAACCATTTACACTGTATATTTTTGCTAAGATGGTTCCAAGTTCGTACAAATACAGTCCAGACGTGTCTTTTGTCTGCCATCGACCAAGATAAACAAAGGTTGCGTCTAACTCCATGTCTCTTGTAACATTCTTATATTCTTGATTGTATTTTCTTGGCTCAGTAGCAAGGCGGACATTTCCTTTTATTTAATTGTTTTATTATTATACATTTAGATTTCTCATGCTATGCCTGTGTATGGACGGATATGACAAAATCAGTCCTTTAAAGATAATAATGTAGTAATATAAACAGTGGCAGCTATAGAACATAAAATTATTTGAACATGTTTAGCCTCTTGATCAAATCTTTTACAAATAAAAAGATTAAATACCATTTTTGATTATTTTTTTTACACAACGATAGTTTGGAACCAGAAGGTTATTTTTTTCCCTTCTAATAAGAATAAAAATGTCAAATTACACTTGTACCAACACGAAAACACTACCGCAAATTTCGTCAAATTATAATTCTGTGCGCTGTCGCGTGGTGTAGCTAACAAAAGAATAGTCATTACTTAAAAAAATATTTAAAAAGTCTTTAGCAGACTGAAACATAAAAATATTACCGCTAACTTTACCAAAAACTGCTCAAAAGCTTACGTTGAACATAAACAACATGAGACCTAAGAATGACAATGCACCAGTGATTTTAGTGTACAAGAGCCTGCTAGGCTTAAAACATGACACTTTACTTTGGGTCTCATGTTAAACATATTACAACAACAACAACAGTTTAAATGTGGGATGACATGATTCCTTGGACCTACATACATTAGATAAGTCTTAAACGTCACATATTTGCCATAAAAAATTGAGAAAACTGTGCTAAGCCTATTGTAATTTTAAATACACATGTAAAACAATTTATGTATTCATTTATTCTGTAAAATATACATTGTAAGGTTTTGACATTTAGGTGGTTCCTTAAAGCTTTGAACATTGATGATGCGTTAAATTATATAAGCGGGCGTAGATTTCAAAAAGCTTAAACATGATTTTAATTGTTACTGATAAAAAAACATCACGGCATCCAATAGTAAGGGAAGGTAAATGTGGTTACGAAAAGATTTGTAAATTTTCATAAATATTGATAAACTCATCTCAATTGTTGCTTGTATTGTTTATCTTAAGTGCATAATGTTCTTGTTTAACAAATTTATTAAAGCTTCTAATTAAAATAAGTATACGACCTTTAAATTAATTCAAATTACGGTTTATAAACAGATTTTTTCACGTAGTTACGTTTATTTGATAACCATGTTTTCTGGTTCTCGTGGCATATTTTGGATTAGATATTTGAAGGGGCTGATTTAAAGTGACGTATTTCACCCTTTCATCTTTCTAGTACGAAATATCACAACGAAATGTTAAAAGAGAAGAGAAAGTGCTTACCATATAATTAAATATTGAAGATTTGGTTCAGAAACCTCTTATCTGCCAACTAAGAGCGCCAGAGTATGCATGTGATGTACTGATAACATTCACAGGTAAATGAGCTTTCCCCCCAACCCCTCCACCCCTTGATACTCACCACTTGGTAACTCTTTACGTTGGGCTTGTCTGGTGCCAAGAGGGTTGTTGGTGCTTGGGTAATAGTAAAGAACTGCACATTTTAAGTGAGGAATTACGTACGGTGTAACGTTCAATTTTTTTACAATTATATGTTAAATCGATATTGTCTTTAACTATAGTAGAGTAAAGTAAACTTTTTAAATTTATTATAAACATATATTATCGTTTTTATTTTGTTGTTAAATACTTAAAAGTTAATATTAAACTTATATTGAGAATTTTTAATATAATTTTATTTAGATTTGACAATAAAAGGTCGCTAATTTTACTTCTATGAAAATAAATATTACTCTCGTATCTTTGATAACCATAATTTTCATTATATTTTACAGTATTTAGTATGAGAACCAATATAAAAATAGATTATGCTGAACTATTTTAATGGCTGCAAAATGCTACTAAGCTCATTTCAACAAAAAGGATTCTTTCGACTTACAATATATTAACGACCAATATTTTTTTTTATACGTGTTTAACTATGATAAACACTTTTCAGTTAGGACATGTTAATACGACATTACTTTCTAAGTTTTATGTACATACCTAAATCCCCATTCAAAACTGAGTCCTCATATCACCAATTTTTATTCCTGAAACAAAACAAAATAAATAAATTATATTTTTACATTTAAAGCAATAACACAAGCTACATTCTCAAATAAATCACATGAAAAAGTTAAAATATTCCTGACTAAGAACATCATGCTCTACATTCCTGTTAGTGTGAATTGGTTTTTAAGAAAATCTTCAAAAATCATAAAAATATTTGAATTTTAACTTAACACATTTATTCAACAATTGCATAAATTGTAATTTCTGTATATTTGCTCCATAAACGTAAGAAATAGTACATAAACCCTGTGTCACAAAGAGTGTTTTTTATTTTTTTCATACAGCAACGCTAGATAGTGATAATCTTTTTAATCTTGATAATCCTGTTTGTCGCTTACTAAAATAACTTCTTGATCAGTATCGTGCGTGTTATTAAATTACCTCAGAGTACAAAAATACGTCAAATAACCCCTAAAATGATATATTTACAATTATACTGTTTACTCACAAGAAGGTAAATACATATAAAAGATGTAAAGTAGTAATCGATTTCAAATGGACACTCCAATAATCATCAGACCTAATGAGTTATATCAGATTCGCCTACTGTGTTTCACGATGATTGGAGTGTCTAATTGAAATCGATCACCACTTACCATATGTATTTACCTTCTTGTCAGTAAACAGTATAAGTGTATATTATTATAAGTGTTATTTGAAGTATTTTTGTGCTTTAAGGTCTTAAGTAAAAGTCCGTGAGCATGCGGGCAATGTGTAAGAATCTATGTTGACAAGAGTAAAACATCCAACACAAGCACAGCTTGAGCGAAGCTACAAACATCGGTATGTTTGTCAATCAACCGGAATGTTTGGCCATTGTGAACATGTTATCGTAAAGTGGCACTAGTCCCTCCAACCAACATTTGGGTCAAACATATTGTGAACAAATATACAAACGCTGTTTATTAAATACATTGATAATGATTCAACTTTAATTACCAAAGGTTTATGCTATATTTCTATTTACGTTTGGATGAATATAACGCAATTTTAAACATTGCTGAATAAAAAGGAGAAGTTTTAAATCCGTAAGCTAAACAGTTTAATCAGTATGTAAACACAATGACTGCATATTGCTGATTAGTGTGGATTATTAAAAACAACCCAAACATTCAGACTTATTTGTGTAGGGTTGGTTTATTATAATCAGATTATAGAATGGTTAAGCTTTTGTGCTTTGTGGTTAATTTTAACCCGGTGAAAATAACAGTTGTTATTCTCATTTTTGTTTTATAATACCGTCTAAATATATTTTATCTCAATATACATTTTACATGTATGTTAATTCTTAATTCTAGATTAATTAAATCACAAAAATCAAACAAATTAAAAAAATATTTAATTTTATATAGGCCTACACAGTATTTAAACGTTATCTTAAAAAATCGTGATTTGGCCCCCAAAAAATACAAATTATAAGTACTTTTACACATATAAAAATATCCCTTGGAAGATTCTGTACTTTCCTTAAGGATGAAATAAGATCGCGTGCAGATGCCAAATTAATCTTTAGTGTATTCTACCGCAGCGTCCTAATCTTTTGCAAATAGTTATTTACATTATTCATGTAAAAGAATGTTACATATAAAGCCAAAGTGATTTTAGCTTACCATTTTAGGATCATGCATAATGTTATTGCACTAATAAATCCGTCCTTTTTATTTAATATAGTTAACAACTCTAATATGATATGAATCAATATTTTTATATCGCACTTTTAATAAACATGGCACAAAGTTATGCTTAGCTCATAAGAAACGTATAATTTGAATCAGAGTAGGGATTGCTCTATTTTCAAGAGTATTCAAAATAGTACAAAATCTTCTATTGAAGAACCACCGTCTTGAAACGAAGAATATGTTTATATTTGGATTCCACGAACATACCTGAAGCTATTGTAAGTGGTTTAGACAAATAAATAAATATTTTTGTATTAAAAAAGTGCTTTAAACTTATTTGTATATGCCATGTCTAAAATTTAAAAATATTTCTTAGAACTGAATCAATAAATCTGTTTTTAGTACCCCTGGTTTTGTTTGCAGTTAAAATTTGATTTTAAATATAAACTTTACAGATTTCTTAGCTTATTGCAGCATATCTATATAAATTAAAATGAATTCCTTTTTTATAGTATTCCATAACTCAAGAAATAGTGTACCGAATTGGACAGCTCTATTTTTGTTGTGTACCTTAGTACCGGAAAAGATTTTTATATAAGAAAATTTATAATAAACCCAACCGTTATTTAGTATTTTGATTATGAAAAATAAAAAATTGCCTTAATATTAGCATTGGATGAAAATGTGTTCATTAAACTGTTGGATACAATAACATGTGTTAATTTTCAACAAAAAAGGTGAGTAAGCGTAGCTAACGAACTTGAACCTGGATGAAAATGAGCGTAGTGAACGAGCTCATCTTGAAAATGAACGAACGTTTGACATAAAACCACATTATGTCAGGACGACGTAAAAATATAAATTAATGACAATTCTGGGAGTTTTTAACTGTTATAATATATATTTTGCTAATTTCATTACCACTACAACGAAGCTCAATTTTGGTTGTCATAATGTTTTTGATAAAGCCACTCATGATTTTTATAACACAATACAAGATTTTCCACAAATATCAACTAAATTTAATGTTATTTTTGTCATTATAGCTATGCTCGTGCATAAACCTATTGAACTAGCTGTGTACATTAATTCCAGGGTTAGTTTGACCTTGGCCAATACGATCCTGGAGCTCCAAGAGCTTTCTGTTTGTTCGCTAAATTACCTGCTTGTTTGTCAATTAATTGTACTTGGTAATGAAACTAGCAATGCTGTCCTGCCGTTTACAAGAATACTGTTATAATTAAGAACGATTACGATGCTTTTTAAGAGTTTAAAATTGATATTTATTTACCAAAACAATACAGCTAGCCCTTAAAAGTAAGGTAAAATAGATTAAACTTTGTACTTAATTCAATCATGGAATCCTTTAAAATGTAATTTAAATTTTCAGTGATTTTATGAACTTAAGCTGTAACTTCTTTGATCAACACATTTAATTGCATATTTTATTTTACACTCTGATTTACTTAACCTAACCTATTCTGCAAAAGGTAATATATTCCAAATGAAATTATTATTATAAAATTTCAAATAATTTTATTTTTATCACGTCAATTATTTAAGGAGAGTAATCAATGGGGTTTTCAGTGACAGTTTGCAATCTTTCGACCAAAAGGCTGAAAAATAGTAATCTTAATGTTTCAACAAAAATAATGGTTTCGTCAAATAATTCTGCTGAAGTATTATTTTAATATTTTCCATTTATAAGACTACATTACTGAATATGAAAGACAAGTTGGATGTAGCCTATATATGTCGGTGTAGGGCAAAATCATAACCTCGCATGTCAGTTTTGTTAATAAAAACCCAAATTATGATCTCATGGCTCTGTCTAAAGATAATCTTAAGATAATCGATAGCAAAGATAATCTTAACATTATTTAATACAAAATTATTTAAATACGTTTGTAATAAATTATGTTATCTCTTTCGACCTTTCTGAGTTATTAAGAAAAATAAAATATTTTTTGTTATTATTATAACTAATTTTATGGAACCAATTTGGTTTTAGCATGAAAAAGTATAAAAACGATTATGCTAGTTAATAATATATTTGTTTAAATACTTTTAATATATTACTATGATATTGAGATGTCAACTCGTCTATGCTTGTAAGTACTTGTAAATATTTTATCGTATTAAGTATGAATACTGTACGTGGCATAATATTGATAGTAACATATTAGGTCCTAAACTCAACGATGAACAGGTTCTACCCTTAATGGTGTAGTAGGAGTTAAGGTTGTGAATTGCTATTACAAACCCTTAATATTCATCGCAATACAACGAGCTTTAAATTAAACCCAAGAATGGATCATTTGAACAAGATTACTCTCTTGTATTGGTAAGTTTTATACTGTAAAGTTGTACATGTTTTGGATTTATCTTTATTATAACTAATTCTGATTTGTACCAGCTTAAACATATACTGTAAAGTAATCATTAAGACCATTATGAACATTAACTATGAACAGTGACAGAAAGTTCCAAAACCTTTGTTTATCACTCTAATGTGTTAGTTTAAAATACATTTCCCTTCTCCATGTTTATCGTAAGTATCCTTAATGTTTTAGAATAAATTGTCGTATTTAACATTACAAGACAAAAGCAAGCCATTAATTAATTAGTACAAATTTTAAATAAAATACGGAACATAATTTTCTTATTTATTGTTATGAAATGCAAACGACAATGAGGTTATTAGACTGGCTGATGGCTGATATCAATTCCCACCAATGATTAATATAACAATATTTTTTTCATATACACTGTGGCCATGGTGACAACAGGTCTACAACAATACACAAGACACAACAGTATGTTAAAAGTTAATTATTAAATACATCATGGTAGGCCAACTCATACTTTTAAGTAAATTTTTGTTTTTAAATTATGTTAATTATGTGTAATACTTACGTTTAGGTTTAAATTACGTATAAATACATTATATTAATGTAGGTAAAATATGATTAATCCATAAATAAAGTCATAAAACTGAAAAAAAACGCAATAAGAACATCAATTGATTTTTTTAGGATGATATAATGTTTATCAATAAGTATTGATATGAAAGAATTGTAACTCAGGTATAAAAATATCACTCAACTTTAGAAGTTGGACATCAATAAACTACAAAAACCACCAGTATGGTGCGAACACGGTTTAGTTTTTAAGCTACCCTTACTTATATACTAAACTAGGATGGTTAGGGGTTAATTTTTTAAAACCCAAAAGTCCATATTAGATGTTAAAAGTAGCATGTTTTATTTTCCATTGTATAAATAAAGAATATTTATTTTAATACCTCAAGTGTAAATGCATCAATGCACCGCTCCTGCACTGCAAAGTTTAATAAACTA